TAATGTTATGTTGTAATGCTATTGGATCTAATAAACTAACAGCTGTTTTTATTGAAAAAAGTAAAACTCTACATTCATTAAAAAAAATTAACAAATCCTCGCTCCTGGTTAAATATTATTGGAATAAAATGGCATATATGCAAATTAGTATTTGGAATGACTGGCTTAAGACTTTTAACACTCAGATGCAACTTAAAAATCAACAAATTATTCTTCTTTATGATGGTACAACTACACATGTTCTAGATGAAGGAATTAGTCTTTCTAATATTAAACTTCATAAGTTACCACCTCATACTACTGCACATTTATAACCATGTGATGCTGAAATTATTAGAAGCTTTAAGGTATATACAACTATCTTTTATATTACTATTATTATACATTTTATTATTATTTTATTCTATTTTTTTTTTTTAATTTATAGATACAATATCGTAAGCTACTTCTTCAAAATCGTATTAAAGAATTTGATAAAAGTCAAGAAACAGAAAAGGATATGTCTAAGGTTATAATAAAAAAAAAGTAATTAAATATTCAGCAAAAGTATAGGACACGGTTCAACAGAGTACAATTGTAAATTGCTAGCAAAAAACTAAAATCCTTCCAAATATGAATAATAATATAGATATGGATTTATATGATGAAAAAAATGTACGAAGAATTAACAAAATTCGAAACCTTATTGATCAACTAGCAATTATATATGAAAATCCAATTACTGCTAAAGAATATCTTGAATATGAAAAAGAAGAAGCAACACACCAAATGATGACTAATAAAGAAATCGTACGAATTATAAATGAACCGAAGGATAATTTGAATACTGATAAAACTGTCAAAATGCCTATTATTACTTATCATGAAACATCTGAAGCACTCAAAAAAGTTATTAATTATGTAGAACAAAGGGGTAACAAAATTGAATTTCAAGTTGATCAGATTAGAGCAATAAAAAAATTGCACTATCTAATGAAAAGAGAGGAATTTTATTCTAAAAAACAAGTTACATTAAAGAATTTTATGCAAACAAATTTGAAACAAGCATAAATAATGGCATAACAGGTAAATAACTTTCTATAATTAATAGCAAAATTACATAAAAATTTTATTCAATTTGTTAATATACTGTATTATATAACAGATATAATATAGAATATTAAATTTTCTTAAAAAATTTAATATATATAGAGATACAATAATGATTTTTTTTTTACAAATTAAGAAAATTTTTCTTATAAGTTGAAGCTAACATTCTGCAAAAGTAGAAATAACAATATAATGCTATAAATAAAGATTACTGTTGATAGCTGCTTTACTATAAATTAAACCTATTGTAATATTAATCGAATTCAGTTTTTTTAAATACTTTGTTACAACTCATAGAGAGACTTATAATTTGTGCAATCAAATTTAATTTCAGATTAAGGGATTTAATTTTTAAAAAAAAATTAAAATTTATGCTTTATTTGTTTAATGCATAAATGTATATTAAAAAAAATTGTGTTCGATCATTTACTATTAGTTATGCATAAAAGCTACTTTTTATTAAATATGTATTACGTATTACATATTACAAAAATTGCAAATCAACACAAATATTGCATTTATATTTACTTAATCAAAATAGCAGGCATAAGCATTTTTTGAAAATTGTGCCCAAAAATAGCATATATAGATTTATGCACATCTCGAAATAATATATATCCTGCTATTATTATTTTGAAAAAACCAGATTCAAAAATAGGAATATCAAAAAGTCTGTCAAGAACCAACCAACACTATTTTAAAGCTGATTCTGATTATAAAATACTTCTTTTTGAAGCTGGTCAAATTTAAGTAGTAGACTACTCTTTTGAAAAAGATAATGGTCGTTGAGTTACTAGGCCTATTTGAACCTCACAAGACAGAAAAAATAAACAAGCCAATGAGATAAATAATTTGAGTTATGAAGAACTGAAACAACTCAAATCACTACAAATAGAACAAGAGAAAATAAAAGAACAAATTAAAGAAAAT